TTTTCAGTGTTACTATTGCTTAAGATGGGGGCAGGGATAAAAGTCCAAGCACTGGTGGGAAAGATGAGGTGAAGACAAATGCAATTAAGACCAAAGCATTCATTTCTAAAGGCTCCGTGAGGGAATGGGTATGCTTTGCAGTCTTTGCAGCCATTACTTACATCCTTAGTAGCAATTAAGCGTTTCAACATCCAAGACACACAGGAGTTCAGTCAATAGTTATACAACGATGGCATGTGCGCGTGGGTGCGAAGCCTGGGAAGACAGGATGGAGAGACAGAAGTTAATTTTGTTTTGATTAAAAGTTGTACGTAAGTCTACTGTAGAAAATAATTCCTAATATTAGCACTGGCCACTTTTCAACAGTCCGCAGTTGGCACCCTTTACATGATTTAATGGCATGAAAATGATTTCTGCCCCCTACCACATCTTTAAATTGCTACTCTTATCAGAATACAGAATTCCTGTTAGGGTCACAGTATCTTGGAATTGCTAAAATAAGGATTCCGAATCTCAAAGGAATGCCGTTGGTCTTTGGTCATCAGCATCATTCTCACCATCGTCTTCATCACAGGTTTTCATCCACAGTGTTTGAATGTTTTGAATTTTATTTTATTTTTTCTATATGTGCCCTTGGACATGTGAAATTTTGCATATTTTTATTATTCATAATTTAAGGAGAAAATCTCAATGATCCTTTATAAAAATATTACAGATATATATATGGATATATACACACACATGCACACCCACACATGCTTGCACATTATTTTCCTTATCTATCGGAAGAAAAATTATAGCGTATTTGAAATCATTGAATATTCTATGTCAATGTTAATATGGCAATAATGATTTTGTTTCATAAGTGGCAGCATACTTTCATATTAAGCTGTCAAAGTCTTAAAATATTACCTAGTTCTAATTAGTGCTGAAACTTTGTACTGTGGATATTCATTTTTGCCCTTTATTAACTGTCTATTAAACATTTTGTGTTTTCATTTTTTCCAGTTTATTTAGAAGCAATGATTTTATTTAATTGAGAGAAATGCTTAATGACTTAATTCATAAAACACCATGTGAGACCATTACACTTTTGTAATCCCCAGCACTTTGGGAGGCGAAGGTGGGAGGCTCACTTGAGATCAGGAGTTCAAGACCAGCCTGGGCAACATAGCAAGACCCTATCTCTATAAAAATTAAAAAGAAAAATTAACCAGGCATGGTGGTGCAGCCCAGGACTCTGAGGCAGCAGTAACCTATGATTACACCACTATACTCCAGCCTGGGCAACAGAGCAAGACTCTAACTCGAAAATAAACACCAAAAATGTAAAACACAAAAACAAAACACTGCGGAAAATATTTTTTATATTTTACACTACTAAGTGATACCAACATTGTATAGCTTCCTCAAGCTTGAAGTATGATCCCTTTATAATCTATTAAGAAAGGCAAGTACTTTATAGTCCACTTACAAAAACCACATACATATTTGTCACTTGTGGTTTTAAACAACATAAGCCATGAAGAAATTCACATATCGTGGCTCTCCAGCGTCCCGTGTAATATATACCGTGTGTTTATTTCCATCTTACAATCTCTATTGTTATTATGGCCCTGGCAGCTGTGGTTGTATTTTTATTTAAAAGGTCATTGCTTGTAACCAATTTCATCACAGGGTTATTTATAATTTGCACTGTTAAAACAGAGCTTCACCTTGTTTTCTGGTGAATCTCCAGATTACAATTATGCCTACGCAGGTATTTCCCTATACGGTGTTACTTTGTCGTTGCAGTTGTTGACGATATTTTATTTGAAAACATGCACTTCTCTGTGAGGTTACAAATCACCTGTTTTCTTCAATTCATGTTTGTGCTTGGACTCAGATACATTATTTTGTTCCTGCCACAGGGATCAAAGCCACAGTGTGTACAATTTAAGATTGCCATTGTAATGCTGTTCATCCAATTTTTGTTTTTAAGAGATCTTCATTGAAATCGTGAATTAGAGGGTGATTTTTTATTCAGGCCACGTGTCAAACTTGCCAGGATGAACTTATTTAGTTGTTGGTCCGGGCTGGTCGTGTATACAATCTTCCTTGAAATACGTGACCCATTAAAGTTTTATCTTAAAGATAAGAGTGATTCTCTTTGTAACCTACCTTTTTGCAAGCTCTGGAAAGAGAAATGGAGTCAAATATTAATGGTGAGGCCAATGTTGATGTTTCTTCTTGGTGAGCATGGTAATATGAAATATGTCAGTTTGCTGATACCAAACTCATTCACGCCTTTTACGTTTTCAGACCCCATATGCTGGTAATATCATTATTGGAATGTATCCAGATCCAACTAGATACTTGTAGCTGATAAAGTTTGATGTGAACAGTGTCAGAAAATGCACAGCAAAGGAAACAAAAATCCTTCGACTGGTTTTTTCTGTCAGCATCAAATTTTCAGGCCTGTGGGAGAAACAACTTAAAAATACACGTGAAATTTCTACAAGACCTTGCAGTTTGCCTCCACATGTCCACAAGCAGCGTGTCCCAGAAGGGCAGGAGCTTAAAAAGCTGGTTACGAAATCCTGCTACGGAATGCCAGACCTTTCCAGACTGTTGGACACATGCATGTAGCTTACCCCGAGTGCACAAGAAAAGGAAAACGCAGTTCTTTTGAGAGCATAAAGGAAATGGTGTCGTGTTTTCTTGACTTGTTTTCTCTCTGTCCAGTGGTTTATCTCAAGCTTCTCATTGCTCACTGTCACAAGAAAACAGCTCAGTTTCCTTTTTGGCCAGCCTCGTCAAGTGTAATGGAAGAAAATGTCTCTTTTAATGCAGTTGATGAACAGTTGTTTGCATAAGCAGAACTCACTCAGTGAAGTGTTTTTCTTGCTGAAGGCCTCACTGATGTGTTATTTGAACGGTGTTGGGAAGCAGGCCTCTGAACACACATTTGTTCCAGTGAGTGTGGTTATAAACATCCCGTAGTAGAGACTGGGGTATTGTAAAGCCTAATCTCCTCACACATTATTTTTGTATTGGGATATTTTTAATATGCTCACTAACGAAGCCCATATGCTTTGAAATGTTTGTCCTGCATATTGCTTCATTACTGCTTACCAACAAGTCAGGTTGTGCTGGCTTTGCAGAAGGAGAGCAATAGATGATGCTTGATTTCTTTCTGTCTTGGCCAAAGCCAATCATAGGAGCCAGTCTTTTGGTAGCATGGCTGCATGTTATTTTACAGCTCGCCAAATGAATGCTAAGACTGTTGTTTTAGAAAGTCATTATTATCAGGTCAAATTCTACCATTAGCTTTCAATTCTAAAAGAAAACCAATAACTTGTTTCTAACAGACACTCCTCACTCAGGCTATGCCCGTTGCACAACATTGCGTAACACGGAGGGGGAACTGAGGGTGGCACGTAGGGAAAGGGATTGCTTGAGGGGTGTACCGCTGGTGCTGTGACAAACCATTGGGACGTTTCGTAAATGTAGAGGCATCACTGTCTATTTTGAGCACAGATAATTTTATTTCAAAAGGCCAGACCTAGAAGGTAAGCTAACCATTGTCAGTGAGAAGGTGAAGTATCCCAGAAACCTGATCCATACAGTGCAGTGTACATGTTCAGCAACCTGATTCCGGTGAGAAGCACCAATCACCAGATGACCTGCTAACCAAAGTATTTTTTTCCTTTCCTTTCTTTTCATTTTTCCTTTTTAGACAGGATCTCGTACCATTTCCCACGTTAGAGTGTGCAGAGGCATGATCATGGCCCACTGCACCCTTAATCTCCTAAGCTGAAGTGGTCCTCCTGTCTCAGCTTCCCAAGTAGCTGGGATCACAGGCATATGCCACTGTGCCTGGCTCATTTGAAAATTTTTTTGTAGAGAGAGGGTGTCACTGTGGTGCCCAGGCTGGTCTTGAACTCTGGAAATGGAGTGCTAACCAAAGTATTCAGTTAGGAGGACTGAAGCTCTCTCTACAGGGTATAATTAACCTAGGTAAATTGGCATTTCCTAATAACTAAGGTAAAATGCATTGCCTGATAACCAATTTAAGTAGAAATTAGCTTTTGGGTTTATCCTTTTGATAGGCATTTCTGTTCCCTGTTTGGCTGCCATCTGTGGACTGCAGGAGACCTGTTGGTGCCTAGTTTCAACTAATCTTGGCTTAAAATTTCACCGTCATCCTGTAGCAAAAGGGGAATCAGCTATACTGCATCCTGCTGTGAAACTAAAATACGTACCTACCCCCCAGAATTCACCAGCATGGCCAACTTGCGAGTGTGCACTCCGACTTTCCCACTTTTGAGAGTTGTAGCAAATTTTTATTTTTTTAATTTTTTTGGCATTAACATCTTCTAGTTTTTTTGAACAGCCTCACTCTCATTGTATCTGCTCTGTGTATGAGAAAGGTAAATAATGTCTTATGTCAGTATTTACCAAGCCTCATTAAAAAGATTAGATGCTGGGTATAGTGGCTTACACCTGTAATCTCAGCACTTTGGGAGGCTGAGGCAGGAGGACTGCTTGAGGCCAGGACAACATAGAGAGACCCCATCTCTACCAAAAATAAAAATTAGCCAGGCATGGTGGCTTGCACCTATAGTTACTTGGGAGACTGAGGTGGGAGGATCACTTGAACCCAGGAGTTCAAGGCTGCAGTGAGCCATGATTGCACTAGTGTACTCCTGTTTGAGTGGCAGAGTGAGATCCCATCTCTAAAAGAAAAAAAAAGAAGTCTAGAAGTTTGATTTCTTTAATTGAAACCACATGCCAAAGGCAAAAATCACAGTTTAAGACAAGTGAGTGTTTGTGGGCTCCTAAGAGCAACTACATGTATGCCCCTTTTCTCAAAGAAACTTGATTTCGTAAAACAAAAAATTCACAGAATTTTCAAAATATTTCTAAGTCAATTCGTAAGAATGGAAATGGAGTCAAGCAGTTGTGTCATCTGTGCAGATCCTTCTGGTTAACAGTGCGCTTGCGTGTTCCCCTTCCAGCCGAACGCACGGCCGGCGGCGCAGAGCGGGCGGCACTCGGTGTCCGTGGAGGTGCAGATGCAGCGGCAGCGGCAGGAGGAGCGCGAGAGCTCTCAGCAGGCGCAGCGCCAGTACAGCTCTCTGCCCCGGTAAGAGGACACCTGCGTGGCCGAGGTTCCAGATCCGCCCGGCCCTAAGAACGTGCTCCTTCCCAAACCGCACGGGCCTCTCCAGCTCGCCCCTGGTAGCAACAGAGGAACCAATACATGGCTGGTGGCCACGGTGGCTCAGCGTGGGGGGCTGCCTGACTGTGAGGCCAGGGGAAATGTCACCTGCAGGAGATGCCAGTATTTTCACCCACAAGCTCCTACTGGCTCCTTAGCCTTGGTTCTCCTGCTCTGCTCCCGGTGTGGACAAGACAGAATCTTCATCTGAAAAATGGGCAGATAACCCTTATTTTGCTTAGCACATAGGGCAATTAGCTCCGTAAAAGGATCGGAGTCGGTGCAGCAGACACCGTGGTTGTGTGGGATCCGTGGTCCCAAACTTCAGTCTCTTACTGGCCCGTCACCTCTGCTGTCAGCCATGTTTAACTTTAGAGAGTCTCAGGAATGCTGGGCTTGTTAGCTGGGAACCAAGCAAGAAACCCTTACCTGCCCGGCTCCCCAGGGGAGACTCCTTGGCCCAGGTGTTCTCTGACAAAGGCATATAAGGCTCTCAGGTGACAGAGTGCCAATACTTTGAAATAAGCCATTTTTCCATCAAAGTATTTCTTCCAGGCATAGTAAAGAATAAATCTTTTGAAAAACATTCAACTTTTTAAATCTCCCCAAACAACTGACTCCTGTAGTCATAATTCTTATAAGCATTTGTTGCTGTATTTCAAAACCAGGTGACAAAGACGTTTTACGTGGGAAAGTGTTCATTTGCTTTGTTGCTATCAGGTAGACTTTTGAATTTGAGCAAAACAATTTTGGGGAGTTAGGAGACAAATGCTTATCTTGACTGACTAAAGTGATCTTGACCAATTTCTAATAAAGTTGAGTCCTGGCTGGGCGTGGTGGCTCACACCTGTAATCCCAGTACTTTGGGAGGCTGAGGCAGGCAGATCGCTTGAGCCCGGGAGTTCAAGACCAGCCTGGGCAACATGGCAAAACACTTTTCCAAAAGGATACAGAAATTAGCCAGGCATGGTGCCACGTGCCTGTAGTCCCAGCTCCTTGGGAGGCTGAGATGGGAGGATTGCTTGATCCTGGGAAGTGGAGGTTACAGTGAGCTGAGATCACGCCACTGCACTCCAGCCTGGCTGACAGAGCAAGACCCTGTCTCTAAAAGATGAATGTCTTTACATGTTAAATAATCACTATAACAACCATGTGGGACTTCACCACGTGAACACAGGTCAGCCAAGGGGACACAGATGTGAATGAGTCTTCATGGGGATGAGTGCCGTCTATTGTAGCAATTTATTCATTCAGTTGTCCTTTTTCAATCCATAAGGCTATATATAACTCCTTTGAGCACTAAATTATTTTTTCCTTTAAAGAGGAGAATTGCCAGGCTCTTTAGCCTGCTTTAGGTAAGAGTCATTAAAGTTTAGGTCTTTACAGGACCTTTGAGATAATCTTATCTTACAAGGAAACAGCTCAGAGTAAGTAAATTTCCCCAGCTCACAAAGCTAGTAAGTCATTTTGCCAGCATTCAAACCCGAACCTGCCCGTGCCCTAAACCATGATTTTATAAGGCCCGTTGCTATCAAGGGCTTCTGTTTCCAAATTTTTTGAGACAGAATGTTGGTCTGTTGCCCAGGCTGGAGCGCAGTGGCGTGACCTTGGCTCACTGCAACCTCTGCCTCCCAGACTCGAGCAATTCTTGTGCCTCAGCCTCCCAAGTAGCTGGGATTACAGGCGTGCACCACCTCGCCTGGCTGTTTTTTGTATTTTTAGTAGAGGTGGGGTTTCGCCATGTTGTCTAGGCTGGTTTCAACTCCTGGCCTCAAGTGATCTACCCACCTCGGCCTCCCAAAGTGCTGGGATTACAGGCATGAGCCACCATGCCCAGCCCCAAATTTGGGATATTAACAGGTGTAAAGTTCCTCTCAGTCCTCTCCTACCCGCAGCCTTTAAAAGGAGGTCACTGTGTGAATCAACCCAGTGAATCGAATGCCTAAGCACTTGAAGAATTAGACATCAAGATTCGTCTGTGTAAACTGCTTCCTCCCCCCACCCAGCCTGCGTGGCTGTATTCCAGCGGAAGGGTAAGCTGACAGTGTGGACGAATTGGCCCCCCTGGCATGGCCCTGCCTGTACAACCACATGGGTGGGCCAGGGCACTTCATAGCCGCGTGGATGGTGTTGTCAGGGCAGGGGCTGTGCTCTTATTTTTATTGGCCAATTGTTTGGCTTCCTCTATTTTGGCCGTGCCTGAGAGTGTCTCTAAGGAATGAAGGAGGAACATAGCAAAGTATGTATAATGAGTGCAGTGGCGTGGGAGCTGCAGAGGGCTGAGAAAGGGAGGTCGGAGAGATGGGGGCGGGCCTGGAAGGCAGGGCATTTGGGAGGGAGAAGGGGCACGTGGGTCCCAATCCTCAGAAGAAGCAGAAAGAGAGAGGCAGGTGCCGCTGCTGGATTTCTTCTGGTTGCATTCGAAGTAGTTCATGCATTCCCAGCTGAACCTTTCGTCCTCGCCTTCCCATGCCTCTCCCTTCTTTGCCCTCAGCCCCGCCATCCCTTCCCTTCTCTGCGTCTCCCTGCGGAAGCGCCTGGTGGAGGTGTCTATATCTACCCACAGAGGAGGGTGCAGCCGCTGCCGCTAGTGCCTCTGCTGTTATTTAGTGTTGCTCCAAATAACTACCGCTTTCCCTCTGGGTTAATTGTAGCTCCCTATTTTTAGTCATTTTATCCCATTTAGATATGAGGAAAGCAGACATCCTCACATTAAAGAGTTATGTAAAGTTTGGGCAGCAGAGGCTGGTAGGCTTCTCCAGCATCTTCTTGCCTTCCTTTAGAGAATAATTTCTCAATGGGAATCTTCCTGTTTGTGAGGGAGACGAGGAACGTAGAACCCTGCGCCCTGCTTGGTGCCTCGCAAAGCAGCCCCACTCTGCGGCAGGTTGTGTGCAGAGATCTGAAGGCAAGGAAAGAAAGCAAACAGGAGGTCAGTGGGGACCACAGCCACCTCCATGAGCTTGAGTCAGGTCCGAGTTTCTGACGTGTGATATTCTTCAAAGACACTTGACCTCTGCCTTTCGGATGTTGACAATTAGCAGAGTTTTGTCTAAACAAGATGGTATGGCTCTAGAAACCAAAAAGATCACACAGACACACACACACACACACACACACACATAGTTACAAAGTAGAGCATAAAATAAAACAAATGGTCTGGGCTTTGTATCTGTTGCATCAGATAAGGTGGTTTGAATTAGAGGTATGTATATGAGAAGACTGGTTTGTAAATCCTACCCATAATCAAGAAACTCTCCGGACAGAATTCAGGTTATATTTTGGAATGTCAGTGAGAAACTGGCCAGGAGGTAACGCTAGTTGGCAGGAAAAAGGACCTGAGAGGTAGCCCTACACTGAGTTCTCAGTACGGTGTTTTCTGTTTCCTTTTCTTATTTTACTTTTTCTAAAATAATTTTTATGATAAATTATCAATTGATAATTTATAATTGTATAAATTCGTGGGGCACAAAGTGATGTTATGATTTATGAACACAACATAAAAGAATTGATTAATTAATTAAGTTAGCTGACATATTCATCCCCTCAAGTATTTACTCTCTTAGCAGTTGTGAAATGTACAATACTCTTGATATTAACTCTATCTACCGTGCTGTGTGATAGAACAAACAGAAAAATTGCTCCTCTGTCACTGAGATTTTGTACCCTTTGACCATCGTCTTTTTTTAATGCCTAAATTAGTTTCTTAATATCCAAAAGGCAGCCCTCAAACGGAATAGTGGTGAGCACAGTCACAGGCACTGGGAGAGAGACGCAAGGCTCTGGGTTCCGTGTTTCCCTTCATTTTCTTTTCCTGCCTCTCCCTCCTCTTCGTTCCTCCCCTCCGTGGCTCCCTGTCTGCTGTGGTCTGGCTTCCTCGAAAGCCTTCATACCTCCCCCCGGCCTGTCTCTGCACCCTCCCACAGTCTCTCCACCAGGCCCACTTATTATGTCTCCGGCCTGCTTGCCAACCTCTTAGCCTTTTTCCTTCCGTCTTCCTCCCTGTGCCTGTGTCCCCCTCCCCCAGTGGCTAATGGCTTTCTTCCTTAAGCATCGGATCTTTGGTTTGAGTCCTCTCTATGCCGATGGTCTCCAGGCCACGTTGGAGGTTGCTGTAATCTTTAGGTAATAGTTGTTGCCAAACCGCGGTATGTGCTTTGAGTAGATTCAGAAATTTCCAGGGGGCTCATTGCAGGACCAAACAATCCTATGTGTTGGTTATAGAGAAATTCAGCGAAAGGAGATTGATGTTTTGTTGCTGTTGTTATCTGTGGCCTTAGCTAAGGGCTCACAGGACAGTGGGAAGAACACGGGCCTCCCTCTGATCTCTGCAGCAGTGCGCTGAAATTGCCCTCACTTAGCAAGGGTTCCTTTCTCCTCTGGTGCTTTTCTGTGTCTTGGCATCTCGACTCAATCCTTCTGACCAAGGAATGGAAAGCTAACTTTAAAAAAAAAATTTCTATGTTATTACGGGCACAGTGGCTCATGCCTGTAATCCCAGCATTGTGGGAGGCTGAGGCAGGCAGATCACTTGAGTTCAGGAGTTGGAGACCAGCCTGGTCCAACATGGTAAATCCCCATCCCTACTAACAATACACAAATTAGCCAGGCATGATGCGCGCCTGAAATCCCAGCCACTCGGGAGGCTGAGGCAGGAAAATCTCTTGAACCTGGGAGGTAGAAGTTGCAGTGAGCCATGATTGCACCACTGCACTCCAGCCTGGACAGTAGAGTGAGATTCTGTCTCCAAAAAAAAAAAAAAAAAAAAAGAATTAATTAATTAAATTAAATTAAAAACAATTTTCTTCATTGGTCAAAAAGATGCCACCCCCCACTCCCCCACTCCCCCCCTGCCAAAGCCTTTTTTACTTTTTTCCCTCTTTTAGAGATGGGGTGGCACTTTGTCACCCAGGCTGCAGTGCAGTGGTCTCATCACAGCTCACTGAAGCCTCAGCCTCCTGGGCTCAAGCAATTTCCCCACGTCAGCCGCCCAAGTAGCTGGGACCATAGGCACCCAGCACCACGCCTGGCTAATTTTTTAAAAAATTTTTGTAGAGGCGGGGATGTCACTGTGTTACCCAGGCTGATATCAAACGGGCCTCAAGTGGCCCTCCCACCTCATCCTCCTGCAGTTCTGAGATCACAGGCGTGAGCCACCTCACCCAGGCTCAGAGCCTAATCTTTGAAGGCCGAGTCACTTTGACTTCAAACTACTCCCCCAGGACCTATTAGTTAATCACTTACTGTGTGCAAGCCACTTTTCTAAGCACTTTACAAGCGTTATTTCATTTATTTCTCCCCACAACCTTTCAAGCTTAGAGATTTTGCGTGTTTCACAGATGAGGTAACTTGAGCCCAGTAAGCATAACTCCCCCAGCTTCAGGCAGCCTGCCAGCGGCAGGTGCAGGATTTGAATCCACATCGGTCTGAGCCAAAGCCAGTCTCCCCACTCGCCCCACTGCCTGGATGCCTGGTTTCCTAGTACAGGAAACTCATTGTCTGTTTCCTTCCCGTGGTCTCCACAACTGGCCCATCTCTCATCCTCTCCTTAATCAAGAGCATATTGACACAGCTAGCTTCCTTACCAAGGACTTGTGTGTGTGTGACTGTGTACGCATATGTGTATGTGTGTGCATTTTACCCACATATCTTACTTCAGACCTCAGAGGAGCCTGCTTCCTTCTCTCTATACTGATTAATATGAAGAAAATTTTAGCTACAAAAAAATTCATTCTCCCACATTGTTGTAATGTCCATCCCTAACAAACCTTTAAGTGAGTTCTCCCCGTTTAAATCTAGAAAGACTAGATTTGTGTCTTCCGGGGATGGCACAGAATCCACTTAGGGTACGCAGCTGCCATAGTGTGAAGCCTGGGGCTCCACGTAGCTGGGGAGGAAGAGGGTTGGTGGCTCTTAGTGGGCCGGGGACGAAAAAGAGGTGAAATGTCTACAGCCTATTTCTGATGATCTTCAAACTGATAACTCATAAAGGAATCCCATTTTTGTTGCTGTAATATCAGTCACAAGTTCCTTGTTTTAATGAAAGTTTCATGATTAATGTCAAATCCCTGGTTTCATGCCGGCATTTTCCAACAGTCTTGTCTCTGGGCAGATTAATTTATGACTTTTTAAGTGAAGATAATCAGTGCTTTAGGCAAATAAACTATTCCATCACATCTAAGGATTCTTGCCTGGGCTGACTATACAAATGTCGCAGTCTTCCATTAAGAGACCCAGACAGACACGCTATGGCATGCTCAGCCAGTCGCCGTCACAGCCAGAGGTGACGCTGGACATTAAGGCCGTTTTCCTTCCTGAAAATGTTCCAACTACATTTTAGGCCATATGGAAAATGGGTGGATTTCATTCCAAACCATATCGATGCAATTCTGAATGTTCAAAAATGCAAATTGATCATTCCTGTGGGAGACACAGTGGCTTCCCAGATGCCCTTTTCCTTCCACGAGAGCTTTGTGAACAGTCAGCCATGTTGTGTGTGTTGATGGAGAAGACTGAGCAGTACATACTGTTGCCAAATGATTTTCTTATTGATAAATGGAGCAATATATTTTGTTTTATTACGCAATTGTCTCTCCCCCTCTTCCATTTTCAAGGCAAAAAAATTAGGGCATGTCTTCCTTCCTGGCACAAAATTGTTTTACTTCGTCATAGCCAATCTTATTGTAAATTCATAAAAGCATGTAGAGACTTGATAGTAAATTAAAGATGTTTCAAAACAGTAATGTTTCCTGGAAATCATGTGCAACTCCAGTGCAGAAGTAGTAAGAATTTGAAATTTCCATATGACTCTGATTTACTTGCCTATCCTGTGACAACAGAAAGCGAGTTAAGTAGGCTACCCTGGCCTTGGTGAAGGTAAAATGTACCAGAAAATAGTGCTTACTCCACAGACTTCGGACTCTCCGCGCAATCTCGATGAGCAGGTTTCCCAAGGAGAGTAAGCGGCTGACATACACAGCTCGAAAGCCAGAGCTTTGAGGGACCGCCTGTTGCATTTTTTATCGTGACGGAGTCTAGACTGGAATCTTTCATAACTGAACTCATATTGTAATCTATTACCATGTACTTCTCATTAGCTAGTGCTTCTGGCCTTACGGTGGCAGCTGTGTAAAATATTTGTTGTGCTTGTTCAGAGTTGAATTGTCATGTTCTAAAGTGAGCAGTTATTCCTACCATGGAAGCTGTGACACCCCTAATACTTCTATACTTTGCCATGTGTCTAAACTGCCGCAGACAGCGGTACCCTAAGAAGGACCGACACCACCTGCCCAGAGAGCAGGAGGATGACTCTGTTTCTATTTCTCTCTCCTGTTCACTCACTGTTAGTTGAGTTGTCTGAAACTACACGCTTACTGAGGACAGTCATTTTTGAATTCTCCAGCCCCTATCGCAGTGTCTGGCATGTGACAAGACAACAGGAATATTTGTGGAAACGTGAAAACGCACATTCCACCCCATCCTGCCCCCTTCTTCCCTCTCCCTCCGTCTACCCTCACGCTAACCTTTGGGTTTTGCTCTCCAGGCAAAGCAGGAAAAATGCCAGCTCGGTCTCCCAGGACTCTTGGGAGCAGAACTACTCCCCTGGGGACGGCTTCCAGAGTGCCAAAGAGAACCCCAGGTACTCCAGCTACCAAGGTTCCAGGAACGGCTACCTGGGAGGACACGGCTTCAACGCCAGGGTCATGCTGGAAACGCAGGAGCTCCTTCGCCAGGAACAGAGGCGGAAGGAGCAGCAGATGAAGAAGCAGGCTCCTTCCGAGGGGCCCAGCAATTATGACTCATATAAGAAAGTCCAGGACCCCAGTTACGCCCCTCCCAAGGGGCCCTTCCGGCAAGACGTGCCCCCATCCCCTTCTCAGGTGGCGAGGCTGAACAGACTTCAGACTCCTGAGAAAGGGAGGCCCTTCTATTCCTGAGCACGCGGAGAACGGATGCTTCATGTCACGCAATAAAAGACATTTTCCTATGAAGACTTGTATTTTGGGAGTTTTTTTAAAACCTCGATGGTACTATGGAGTATTTCTGTTGTTGGTATCAGTGCCTTTAAGCGGTGTAGGCAAAGAAACGGAAGGCCTTAATGTCTGTGCCACTATGTCTCAAGTGTCTGTTCTGTGGAAGGATTTCCCACCCTGTGACAATCATCTGTTCCAGGCGTTCACGTGCTCTGAGCCTCTCCACGGTCCCAGGAGTCTCGGCCCGACTCATGAGCTGACCGCGCATGGTGACGACATCCATTGCAGCGACACACTGGCCTGGAGTGGAGGCTGCTGTGCGGTCCTGCTTTTCCTTCTACGTTCTCTTACCTGTGAGGCGACATCTCAGTCTCTGGTGGAGGAAAAGTGGGCGACATACAGCAAGACCTGGGGCTGTGCGGTACATCACAGCACAGCCGTTTGTTGTTCTTTGTTGTCTGTGGTTTCCTCTTTTCTTTCCCAGCTCCTTGTGATGGGAGAGTTGTTCCTCCTGTTACAGAAGCTAAGCCATAGTCCAGCATCGTCTGGTTACCATGGGGGTCCTTTTGTAACTGCCTTATAACTCAACATTACCAATAAAGCGATGATCCTAGTCTGCGTTTATACATATACTTGTTCAGTCCTGTTCCTCACACGTGGGTTGAGTCACCACAGCTCAGCGTGGGGAACGTGGGAGACGGGAGTGGCTCCTGCTGGGGGAAGCTGGGCCGGCCATTGGCCCTGTGTCTGTCATGAGGGGAGAGCTAAGAAAGGAATTCTCCTAGGAAGAGCTCATGGCCCAGTACATCCCAGTAATTATTTTAATTAGTTTTTGTTCTGACAGCTTGTCAGGAAGGGCACAGGATGGGACAGAGATGAACCAGACAGTCATTTTGATCTGCTCTCTATGGTTTTTCAAGCCACAGGCAGTTGATGCTTGTCTAATGCATCCACACACTACATCTCTGCCTGACGATGCCGCGCTCCTAAGTCATTCTGCCATTAAACACAAAAGACAATAAAGGCAAAGCTCTTACGCATCACACAGAGAACATTTTCGGGTCCCACAACAGCGGTGGCAGGAAGCTCACTCTCACGTCAGTATTTGGGGGTATGTGTGGGTCTCGGGGACCTCGGTGGCTCCCGTCTTCCTTCATCGTTCTGAACATCCTGTATTGTAAACCGTGGCTGGGCTGCTGAAGTGCCTGTGAATCCCGATGTGGAAGAAGCTGGAGATGAAAGCTCAGCATACCCTGTATTCACAAAAACAGAAAAAGACATGTATGGATATGCCTTTTTTTTTTTACTGGCACATTGTATTTTTGTGTTGACTTGTTTTTAGAAATGATGTGAGGTGTCTGCACACATACCTGTGTCTCTTCTGCATTTCTGTGTCATGGTTCTGTTTCTTAAAAATGTGCAGCGGTGTCTAAGTGGTGTTACCAGTGTACGCGCAGTGACCTTGGATGACAGTGGCTCTTCTCACAGCCTCCCCTGAGCTGTAAGAAACAGCTTTCTCTGTACATACGCGAATCCTAATAAAAGGCATATTTCTTCCTGTTCTTTTGGTGTCTCTAGTGTTCCTGGGCATCCTTGCCTAGCTGGGTTTTTTTTTTTAAAGTATATTATCAGATGTGATTTTCTTTGTTTATATTTAGAGAAAGTTGGAAGTTTCCTCACATCTGAGAAGCCCCAGTTGCATGAAAGGGGGCAGGAGAACCCTGGGGCCCATTCTTGGGTGAGGATGGTGGTGGGGAGCTCACCTGTGCCTTGGAAAAGATGGTCACCATTATAACATTATTCTCACTCTTAGTCCATTAAGACAACATATAGTCTTACAGTGGAAATCTGAAAGTTGGAAGTTTGCAAACACAGGAATGAGTGGTTGGTTCCATATTTGAGCACCTGAGGCGAGAGGGGAAGGGGAGAGAGAGGGGAAGGGGAGTGAGAGGAACCTTCTTCATGAGCCCACTGCAAGGCCCAGGCTGCCTTAAGAAGCCTGGGGAATTCTGAATTGAAGGAGCCAGTACGGATTGAACTAAGTGAATGAATGAAAAATTACGCAGAAACTGGCATGATATTCACATGACCGCCCTTTGCATCCTTGGAATCATCCTAGCAAGCCTGATGTTTGATTGAGCCCTGGCCTTGAGTATTGTGAGCCCAGAGAAAGGTCCAGATTCTAGTCCATTTCCAATACCAACCTAGTTTTTATTTCCCGAATTACAAAGTCAGGCTTTGCCATTTCTTTGAGAGAGATGCTCACAAATATGTGTGTGGTGTTTAGAAGGCATAAAAGGTGCTCTGTCCCTAGGTGTATCATCTTGTGCACAAATATAGGAGATCTGGTCCTCACGCAAATGGCAGGCTTTGCGAGGACCTGTCAAAAATGCCCTCTTATGGAGTGCCTAGCATCAATGGGTTGCCATAGCAACCCTCATCCTGTCACTACATCCAAATTCTCTCAGCTCAAGATTAGGAACGAGAGGTGTGTGGCAAGCTGAGGCAATACCATGGTTCTTCCATGCACGCCAGGTGTGGGAAGTGGAAAGGGAAGGTGGACAGGTGTGTTCATTTTCTCCCTGACCAGGAGGCCCACTGCCAATGCCAAAACACATGGCCTATTTGTCTCAACTGACAGCGGGCAGCAGAGTAGGGGAGGCAATAGTCACCTGTTGTGGGGACCCAAGTCACAAAGGGACTTGTGGATTGAAACTGACAATTTGAGCAGCATTGGGAAGAGAGGTAGGAATAGTTCGCAGAGAAGTCAAAATAGGCTTCATGAAGCAGTCTTGACTCAGCAAACTGGCCTCCTGGCTCCAGGACCTTCTGCTCAGACTCAAGGGAATCCCCTGGCAGGGCATGTCCAAGGAGGGGCCGGGCCGGATGCTGTTGAGATGAGCACTGGGATCTACCCAGCTTCCTCAGAAGCCACAATCGCATGAGAGAGGGCCAGGGCACCCTGGAGCCCAGTCTTGATGACGACGAGGTGGGGAAACTCACCTGTTCTTTGGAAAAGATGATCTCCACTACAGTCTCCACTAATATCACCTCACTCTTAGTCCATTAAGAGAGTATATAGTCATACAGATTTGCTTATAAATTATAAAAATAATAGTGCATAGCATATCTATATTATATGTTGCTAAAGCAGTGCCATCCACCTTCTCTCTCTGTGATCAGACTGAGGGAGCTCCAAGGTCAAAGTGTTAGGGTTCAATCACTTGGCAGCTCACAGTCCAATGACCACAGCCAAGGAGGATTTCACCAAGGGTTTTATTATTGGCAACGCGTGAGGAGGACGGACGCCAGGAATCATTTTCCAAAGCAGTGCCTCCCGGAACGAAGGTGAAAACGGCTTTTATTGGGCTGATGAGCTGAGTCATCATATGTCAAGCTTGTCCAACCTGCAGCCCAAAGGCTATGTGTGGCCCAGGTTGGCTTTGAATGCAGCCCAACACAAATTTGTAAACCTTCTTAAAATGTTAAGAGATTGGGCAGGGCGCAGTGGCTCATGCCTGTAATCCCAGCACTTCGGGAGATCCCAGCATGCCTGTAATCCCAGCACTGAGGCTGGCAGATCACCTGAGGACAGGAGTTCGAGACCAGCCTGACCAACATGGAGAAACCCCATCTCTACTAAAAATACAACATTAGTCAGGCGTGGTGGAGCATGCCTGTAATCCCAGGTACTTGGGAGGCTGAGGCAGGAGAATCGCTCAAACCCAGGAGGCAGAGGTTGTGGTGAGCCAAGATCATGCTATTGCACTCCAGCCTGGGCAACAAGAGTGAAACTCTGTTTCAAAAAAAAAAAAAGTTAGGAGACTTTTTTTGCAATTAAAAAAAATTTTTTTCAGCTCATCAGCTATCTTTAGTGTATTTTATGTGTGGCCCAAGACAATTCTTCTTCCAGTGTGACCCAGGGAAGCCAAAAGATTGGACACCCTGTGAGGTGGAGTAAGGGTGGTGCAGGGGAGTCGTCAATCTACATCCTTCGCAAGGATAGGACATGGCAAATAAGCTCCTCCCTGGGCGGGAATTTAGTGTAGTCAGAAGAGTTCACCAAGGTTCATTCCAATTCAGGCACCTCTGGACTTTTATTTTGCTAGATCTGGGCTTCTTCCTGGAACTTTTGTGAAACAAGGAGAACTCAAGGTGCAGCAGTTACCAGAGGGCACTTTTCCACAGTCTATCAGAAAACCCGGGACCCTGGCTTACAAAGCACCCCGCAATTGACAGGGCTGTCCCAGAATACAGCAGAGAGTAGGACCCCAGCTTCTCTGGGTTTCCACCAACGAAGTCCAGTAGATCAATAGAGAGGGTAAACCCCGTGAATTTTCTGCTTCATGGAGTGGGGGGCATAGGTTTTATTTCAACCCTTGTTGAAAAGGGGTGGAAAATAAGCCACTTTGTCCAGAATCTTCTTCGTGATCGTTGGCCACAGCAAGTACGAACAGGAGGAGACAGCAGGTGGGAGACCAGCACCCTGGTGGCTTCTCCATCCGCGCCGTCGCCCTTGTCTCACCCAAATACGGCAGTCGTCAAGAATGCTGCCCTGCTCCAGCATTTTTGATTAGAAGCGCAACAGTTGCATGTTCACATAAAAGGCATAAGTAGTTTCGCATATGTCATCCGTATTTGGTTATCTTAATGGGTTTCTTATTTCATACTATAGTCCTTAAAGTTCAGGTGTTTCTGAAACCAATCTGGGATGAGGCAGGTAATTCTTCCTTTCTGGCTTTGTTTGCTAGTCATGGAGGAGTAAGTTGGTGAGGTTCAACTACCTGCCTCCAGGTACATTCCATTAGACACGTCCTCCATCTGATAGCACAGTGCACTATACATTTAAATGTCTAGTTAACAGTCAGCTTCTTTTTTTCCGACGGGTGGGGAGGAGGAAACAGATTACTCAGATAATGACATGTCAGATATGGAGATAATCTTTTCTTTCTTCAGAGACAGGATATCATCTTAATAAAGCAGCTAATAAGAATGTTCACAGGTCGGAAAGTGAGAGTGACGGAGATGCTTTAATGGAAAACCACCTTCAGCTCTGAGTAATGATTAGATCACAAAAGCTGGTGGAATAAAATTGCCTTTTTTTTTTTTTAATGTTTCGGGGATAATGGTCAAATTCTGAACATAAGCTTTGAAGAATTTTCTTAAACAGAAACTGATATTCTGCTTTGGTGCTTATGGGGGAAAGGGAAGATTCTCATTGCATCCCACATAGAAGGAACTTTTTCCCCCTTGAGACAGAGTCTTGCTTTGTTGCCCAGGGTGGAGTGCAGTGGTACAATCTCGGCTCACTGCAACCTCAGCCTTGGGTTCAAGCGATTCTGTTGCTCCAGGCTCCCAAGTAGCTGGGATTATGTGTGCACCACCACACCTGACTGATTTTTGTGTTTTTAGTAGAGATGATGTTTTGCCATGTTGGCCAGGCTGGTCTTGAACACCTGACCTCAGGCAATCCACCTGCCTCAGCCTCTGAAGGTGCTGAGATTACAGGCGTGAGCCACTGCACCCAGCTAGATAGGTTCTGGTCGCCAGCAATCAGCATCTTTCTCGCCAGCACGCATCCCCTCCTCTTCTCAGCTTTCCTATTCCATTCAGCAAAGTAAAAGCCTATGGATGTCCTCTGTCCATAAATTCAGCGGCCTTCAGTTAAGTCCCATCATGGGGAATTTCACCTTCACACTTGATCTTAGCCAAAAAGGCTGAGAAATGATAGGGAATTTCACCTTTAAAGAATTCCATTATGGGTCCCCTAAGATCAAGAATCCTTTCCTGAAGAAGATATAACCACTTTTTCTCCCATTTTTTTCCCTTTCTGAGGCCTGAGTTAAATCATCAGTTTTTATTTCCTGATGTTTATGTTTTTTAAGCTCATTGTGTCTGTGCTGGCCTGGCGCATTCTGGATGGGTGTGTTTAACGCTGGATGTGGGAGAAGAGGGCAGGAGGTGGGGAACGGAGTCCTCCCACAGTGAAGCTGAACAATTCCTCATCTTTCCTGCTTAGTACTTACTTGCTCACAGGATCAATTAAATGTGTGAAAACACCTTTTCCTGAATTGCTTGGTGAACTGCTGAGTCACCTCACACCATTGCTGGCTTAGAAAAGCCATTTCGAGTTTGTTCTTAGATGCTGCGGTTGCCACTGGATGATCTGATCCTCCAGGGTGTCGCAGCCTTGCGTCCTCGTCTGTGGGAGGAAGGAGCATGAGCAGGGGCCCTTCTCTGCTTCCTGAAGGCAGTCTCCCCACTTGCTAGAAGGTTCCTTCTGAAATCAAGGTTTGGCTTCCATGAGGGATTTTATGATGCAAACAAACATTTTAAGTACAATTTGGAAGGTTTTGCCATTAAAAACAGCTCTGCATGGCCCTGGGCCCAGCCAACTGCAAACTACAAGGAAAAAAAGTGCCATAGATTGCTGGCAAGTGACGGAAGGAAAACAACACACGTTTCTAAACCAGTTGCGACCCAGGCTGATGATCTGGTTTCAGGGTTCAGCTCGCATCCCACTGCGTTTATTCAGCTTCAGTTGTCAGCAGCAACGTATCCA